CTCTTCCTCCTCCTCCTCCTCCTCTCATCTTCTTCTTCTCTTCCACCACTTAATTTTTTCTTCTCCTTCTCTCCTCCTCCTCCTCCTTTCGTCTTGTCCTCCTCCTCTCGTCTTCTTCTTCTTCTCCTCCTCCTCCTCCACCTATTTTTTCTTCTCCTTCTCTCCTCCTCCTCCTCCTTTCGTCTTGTCCTCCTCTTCCTCCTCTCGACTTCTTCTTCTTCTCTCCTCCTCCTCCATTCGTCTAGTCCTCTCCTCCTCCCCCTCTTTTTCTTCTCCTCCTCCTCCTCCTCTCGTCTTCTTCTTCTTCTCTCCGCCACCTGCACCTACTTGTTCTTCTCCTTTTCTCCTCCTCCTCCCCCTCCTCTTCGACCTCCTTCACCGTCGTCTTTTTTTTTGTTCGTCATCCACATACACTACCAGCAGGTCCTCCTCCTTTTGCTCCTCCTTTCATCTTCTTCTTCTTCTCTCCTCCTCCTCCTTTCATCTTGTCCATCTCTCCTCCTCCTCCTCGTCCTCTCGTCTTCTTCTTCTTCTCTCCTCCTTATCCACCTACTTATTCTTGTTCTGTCCTCCTCCTCCTCCTCCTTGACCTGCTTCATCGTCGTCGTCTTTTTTTTCCATCATCCAATAGTCCTCCTCGCCCTGCTCCTCCTCCTCCTCCTGTCGTCTTCTTCTTTTTCTCTCCTCCTCGTCCTCCTCCTTTCGTCTTGTCCTTCTCTCCCCCTCCTCCTCCTCCTCCTCTTCTTCTTCTCTCCTCCTCCTCCTCCACCTACTTATTCTTCTCCTTCTCTCCTTCTCCTCCTCCAGCTACTTATTCTTCTCCTTCTCTCCTCCTCCTCGGCCTCCTTCATCGTTGTCTTTTTTTTTCCTGTCATCCACATACACTACTAGTAGGTCCTTCACCTCCTGCTCCTCCTCCGCGTCCTCCTTTTGTCTTGTTCTTCTCTCCTCCTCCTCCTCCTCCTTCCGTCTCCTCCTCCTTTCGTCTGTTCACTTTTCAAGTATCTATCTTTTCCCTCCTCCTCCTTTCCTCTCCTCCTTCCTCCCCTCCTCCTCCCCCTCCTCTCTTCTTCCTCTTCTTCATCACCTCCTCCTCCTCCTTTCTTGTTCTTCTTCCTCCTCTTCCTCCTCCTCTTCCTCTCCTCCTCCTCCTTCGTCTGTTTCGTTTTTTCAAGTCTCCATCTTTTTTCCTCCTCTCCTCCTTCCCTCCTCTTCGTCTTCCTCCTCCTCCTCGTCTTCTTCTTCTCTCGTCCTCCTCCATATCTTACCGCCCACCATCTCGCATATCTGCCAGCCATAGTGTACCGCTCGCCATATCGTATTGGGCGCTATCTCCGGCTCACTTTTTTTTCCCTGCCCATATTGTATCGGTAGACAACAGCTTCTTCTTCTTCTTCTATTTCTCCTTCTATTTCTCCTTTTTTTTTCCATCGCAGTTGGTCCTTGCATCCTCTACTTACACGACACTATGGCGGGCAGTGATAGTGGCGTCGGCGGGGGGAGTGGCGGTCTGGAAGGACGAGAGGCAAAACGGCAGCAGACAAAGGAAAAGGACATGTTGCAAGCACCTCACTACACCCTCATCGACAGTGACCTCCAAAGACCCCCAACCTTGCCCCTCCCCTCAAACTCCTCCCCCCCACCCCACCACCACACCCCCAACACACGTCTTTCCCAAGTTTCTCTACGGATTTGGGCTCCTCTCAGCGACCGCAGTCCAAACCCATCTTCAAAAAAAAACATAAAGAAATCCTCGGACGTTTTTTGGCTCGTCTGGTTTTGTCGGACGGACTCCCCCGGGTCCGTCAGGCCCGGTCCGTCTGCACCGGGCGTCGGCCTAACCCAGTTTTTCTGTAATTTCTGCGTGTCTAGGTGAGCACCTTTAAGAAGTGCTAAATAGTCCGTGGTAGGTTGCTTGGAGTGCCTGCAGGACTATTAGGGGAGCCATGCTGTCTGTGATGTCGGTGGTGCATATGGCCTACCGGTGATGGTAGATGGCCTTCGGAGTGGCTTTGTAGCTCTGAGTTGGTGGGAACCAACAGTCTGCCACGTTCTACTTGTGGGTGAGAAGGTCTTGGATGGCTTTGCTCCATGTTGTATCTGCGGACTGCCTTGTCTATGCTCCACCCCTTGCTGCCCATCCCGCTTGCTTCTCATGTCGTTCTTTGCAGCTGGTGTGTTACTGTGTACTTTGGCTGCATCGTTGGTGTTGCCTTGTTGTCCATCTGTGTGACTCGTCTTCCCGTGCGTTTTGCTTGTGTGGCGTGCAGCTTTGCCGCTGCTGCAGCACTGCTGTGCGCTTCGTTGTGCTGTTGCTTTGCTGCCAGTCCACTTGCGCTGTTGTTCCATGCAGTTAGCTTTGATGCTTCACAGTTGGGTTGACCCGGCAGCATTGCCTGGTGCTTCACTGAGTCGTTGCCTGCTGCTATGCTCCACTTGTGATGTTGCCTGCCGGCAGTCTGCTTTCAACAAGGGTCAAAGGGTTCATGACCAAAAGCATCAATATGGGGATCCGCTGATTGTTGAGGGTTCAGCCTCCTGACTACTCGGTGCAACAACTCCGACGAACCAATCTTTCATCATCAGTTTTTTTTCCGGTACTTGCACTTTTCTTGTTTGCTGATCTTTGCCTAGTTTTCCTTCCGCTGCGTGCCTTTCCCTTGCTGCCTTGTGATGTTTGCCTGCCCGCCCTCCTCCCCCGTACCCTCCAGCCTGTGTCCTTTGCTGCCGCATCTCGCCCATGCCCATGCTGCCTTTGTCTGTAAGTACGCGGAGGTTCTTGCGAAATCATATGGGAAGTGATTGCATCTCTCTAGCTCTTTGCATATACTCTTCGTTGTGGCTGGCCCTGGATGGCGGACCTTCTCTTTTGAGTCTTTCATGTGTAGCGCATTTCGCCACGATACGATTGTGGAGTCTTCTTCCCCCAATCAAACACACACACGCACACACAGCCATCGGGTGTCCATGGCTGAGTGGGTGTGTAGAGTGAGTTTTAAGACTGTGTCAGATTAGTTTCTCAGACTTACTGCCGTTCTTGTCAGGGGTTTGAACCCACAGTCTGCTAGGATTGCAAGGTTGGTGTGAGTAAAGTCGACCATTCGTCTCAGGGGTATCGCCAACTCTGGGCGATGTCGTAAGTCGTCATCCATCAGTCAAATGCATCCTGGGAACTCTGTTGAGGTTCAACCTCCTGATGAGTCGGTGAAAGGCCGACGAAACAGTCTGGCACAGTCATGCTTCATTTTTAGTGTATAGCGAATATGACAACACACACAGCCATTCGTGACAGGAGCTTGAACTGACAGTCTGCTAAGGTTGCAGGAATAGTGTGAGTAAAGTTGACCACTTCTCTCTCTCTCTCTCTCTAGGGTATCGCTAACTCTGGGCAGCGTGGTGAGTCCTTATCCGTCAGTCAAATGCATCCTGCACAGACTCTGTACCGGTTCAACCTCAACCTCCTGATGACTTGGTGAAAGCCCGGTGAAACAGTCCGGCACAGCCATGTCTTTTTTTCTGGGACTGTGTACAGCGAGCATGAAAACACATACGCATACACACATGCACACACCAGCCCGCACAAACAGAGAGCAAAACATGCACAACGGCAAGCAGAGAAAATTCACAACAATACTGCTGAAACTGGAAGCGTTGTCCAGATGAGTCCAATCGGCACTCTGAACAGGTCCACGCTGCTCAAATGTTCGGTCCTTAGTCCTTGATTACAGTCTCCTCGGTCGAGGTGGCGAACACCAGCAAGCCTGCACAGATGGAGCAGAATGCATTGCATACCCCGCACATCACTGAGAGAAACTGCTCTCGAGTCAAAAGGAAAAAAAAGAAAAGGAAGAAGAAGAAGAAGAGGGAGGGAGGACAGAGCCAAAGCGCTTCTCTGGCAAAGGAGTTAATGTTCCGTCAGTCCTCTTTTTTGATCTGGGTCCTCGGCAGGCCTAAGGGGCCCCGGTTACAGTGGTGCCCGCCCTAAGTGAAGGCGGACCTAACATTTCACAAGAGGCCTTTGACTGTCAATTTCATATTTGGGGTACAGGCAGTTGCAACACGC